ACTGCCGCGATGTGGACTGGAGCCATGTGTTTCGAGTAGTTGCAGATGATGGGGCTACCGAGGACGTACACTTGGAGGTGTATTGAGTACATTGTGTGTGAGAGGGAGAAGAAGAATGTGACTATGCCAGCCTCTCCAGAGGTAAGGATGCGTTGATCTCGACGTGTACATGAGAAGGACTGACGTGCAGCAGACGAGCTATGCCCTCCGTGCCGACGAGATAGCCACGGGCCGTTCAACCGAAGATGACTCTACCGAGTCGGAGGACCGTCTGCAAGCCTGGCGCACTCATGCCGGTCTCTACGATGGCTCTGGGTATGGCGGAGAGACCGAGTCGACCATCTCGCACCCGTCCACGTGCACCCGAGAGACGTTGGAGACGGTCCCGACATCTGAAGGCACTGCTTTGATGGCCGATGCAAAAGGCAAAGACGGCCTCATGTTTGCTGGCGTCCAGAAGGACAATACTGTGCCTCCACATGGGTCGAGCGATGATGAGACATTGGAGGAAGTGATTCGTGCGTATGCAGTGTATGAGAAGGAGGAGGAAGAGACGAATGGATCCGAGTGGGATATTGCAGAGGATCTGGAACTGGCGAACAAGATTGGCGGCTAAGGAGGTGGATGGAGTCGAGTGTGGCAGGTCGAGGACGAAAGTTTGTGGGCTCGTAGCGGAAGGAGTTTTGTTGAGGTGTGACAGAGACGGAGGCCAGACAGGAAAAGGACGAGAAGCATTGCTACCTACCTAGTCAGCTAGACAGCCGAGCCGGAAGGCAAGACAAAGGATGGATTGGGGTAGCAACAGTATCAGCACATGCATGATGCATGATGAATCATGAATCATGAATGATGGGCGAGAGCATTTGTCCTGCATGGGCTTGCACATCTGCACCGGGTCGATGACATGATGACTCTTTTCCCATTTCTGGGTCGTGTAGGTAGTCGGGACATGGCGGTTTGGACGGATGCGCCGATTTACCTACCGGTACCGGTACCGGTCGCACCGACGAAACCATGTCACATCTTCCATGGACGCCTTCCCCTCTCGTGACGGCGCGATCGTCACATGGATGGCGGGGTAGAGGTACATGGGTGGTACGGCAATTCATAAGCAGGCTGTAGCTGTAGAGGAGTAGGCTATGTATACTTGGGCACGGATGGAAATAAAGGTACCGGCAAACAGAGTTGCAGGTCACACATGGCCTGATCCATCAGAGGCACTGTAGGTAGGGAATGCGCCACACCAGGCGAAGAAGAAGAAGAAGAAGAAGAAGAGACGAAAGACGAGAGCGAGAGCGGGAGCGAGAGCGTGTAGAGTATAGGGTGCCTGTGTCTGGTGTCTCTGTGGCCATGGACGATGCATGCAGATGCACAAGTCGAATGACATGGGCTGTTGTCGACATCATACCACAGTCCGAGTCCCCATTCTTAGCCGCACACTCACAACCCCCGCCCTTGTTGTCCCGATCCAGTCGGAATCCAAGGTCCGCCGCTCGCAACCACGTCCGGCCAATCAGCTGGGGCGTGCTTTGCTATGGACCGGCAAGTGAGGGGCTGGTGTTTGGCTGGGGAGTTGGGGAGAGGAGAGGGTGTGGGTGTGGGTGTGGGTTGATGGTCGGTTGGGAGAGGGAATGATTATCGTACGAGTTGGCCGTCTTGACACGGATCATGTGTCGAAGGAAAGCATGGAAGGAAAAAGGCGAGGAAGGAACGAGGTGGTTCCTTTGTGTAAAAAGAGGGTGAATGTGGTATTGACTCTGCCTGGATTCTTCTTCCACTTTTCTTGTTGACCTGGTTGAGGGCAACCTCAGCAAAGTGCCACTGGTACTCTCCCTTCGATACAGAGCCAAAGAAAAAAAAAGTGACTTGCTCACAGCCCCCGCCTCACAGGAGCAAACGTCGAGTCGGCAGGCAAACAAGGGGGTAAGCAAGCAAAGAGAAAAAGAAAGAAAAATAAAAAGGCTACTCACGCACCTTTTCGCCCATCAGCCCGGAACGAAAACAATCAAACTCGACCTCAATCCCATCATGGGTGGTGAGCATGTGGACGAATCGAGCCATGATGGCGGCGCCGCTGAGACCAAGGGCGACAGCAACGCGACCGTCATTCTAGGCTGTGGAATCATCGGCCTATGCACAGCCTATTTCCTGACTGAGACTGGCAATACTGAGCCCACCAGCATTCACATGATTGATTCGAGTCCCGAATTGTTTCATTGTGCTTCTGGGTTTGCGGGCGGCTATTTGGCTGCTGATTGTGAGTTTTTTGTTGTTGTGAATCCCAGTATCCCAGCCAATCGTCATCACTACTTTGTATACCGCTTGGAATGGTCTGCCTACAAGACTTTGTACCGCGGCTACATTCCATCATCACAACCACGGTCACTTTTCATAGCCACAATCACACGGCGCACACGGCAAGCTCGTTATACAAACAATGGTACTGATCAAGTGGTAGGGTTTGCGCCCTCGGTCCGCTCTCTCGGTGCCCTCTCCTTCAAACTCCACGCTGAGCTCGCATCTACCCACGCCGGCCGCTCCACATGGGGTTACGCGCCCTCCACAGGCATCTCGCTTACGCAGGACAGCGAATCGGAATCTGCTGTTAGTGGTAGTGGCGAAGACTGGCTGGAAAGCGGAAGCAGTCGCGCAGAGCTTGTGAATCACAATCGATCACGGGAGGGGCAAAATGGCGGGCCCGAGTGGTTGAGGCGCACGCAAGACGGGGTCATGGAGGTGATCAGTCGCGAAGGAACAACGGCGCAGATGGACCCCTTGCGGTTTTGCAGGTGGCTGTTGGAGAGGTGCAGGGAGAGGGGTGTGAGGGTGCATCAACCTGCAAAGGCGTTGGGCGTGGTGCTGGATGAGAACGGCGTGCTTAGGGGAGTGAAGATGGGACAGGATGACGAGGAGAGGGATTGTGAGTGGGCCAAGTCTGTCATGGGCGAGGAGGAAATGGCTTGCTAATAGACGGGACAGTACCGTGTTCGCGCATCGTCATCGCCTCCGGTGCCTGGTCCCCACGCGTCTTCTCAACACTCTTCCCTGCTTCCGAGTCTCGGATACCCATCTCCTCGTTGGGAGGCCACTCGCTGCTCGTTCGCAACCCGCACTTCAACGCCGCCGAACCAGACAAGGAGGTGTGCCATGCAGTCTTTGCCACGGATACATTGGGCTTCTCGCCAGAGTGGTTTGCGCGAACGGGCGGAGAGCTCTACCTGGCTGGTCTGAATGCGACCAACATCCCGCTGCCCGAAGTGGCTACCGACGTCAAGCCGAGCGAAAAGGCGATTTCGCAGCTCAAGGAATGCGCAAAAGCCATGATGCTGAATGTCCCTGGCAAGCCATTCGAAGTGCTGCGCGAAGGTCTTGTAAGTCGAGCCCAATTCTGGGACAGGGAGGAGGGCCAATGCTAATATCAGTCACCAAAAGTGTTTCCGCGCAGTGACTTCGAGCGGCCGACCGCTAGTTTCGCGAATACCGGAAGACAGGCTCGGAGGCGTCAAGACCAAAGGCGGCGCACGAGGCGGCATCTTCATCGCCGCCGGCCATGGTGCTTGGGGAATATCGCATGCGCCCGGTACGGGCCTCGTCATGGCAGAGCTGATAGAAGACCGACGGACGAGCGCAAAGGTGGATGCTTTGCAGCTCCTTTGAATACACGCCCACGGGCCCCGCTTACGATGACACGAGATTCATACTGCCCCAATCGGCGTTTTACGGAATAGGTAGCATTGGCAAGGCGTCTTCAGATGGCTTCATTGATGGCAATGCCAGGGGTTTTGCGCATGCAGCCTAGGTTAACGGACACGGTTCATGGTTCCGTGGTTATGGTGGTAGTTATAATCAATTGATTGGAACTGGGATCAAGCAATCTGATACTCATGCGCTCGGGTAGTTTGAGTATCATGTGATTTGCCACTGCTACATCCTGGCTATTTTCATAGCACAAGACAAGTAACGTGATCCTCAAACTAGCCGAGATAACTAGTACACGCATGCGCATTCACACTACTTGCTAGAGGCATGTATACTCACCCTATCCCGTCCCGTGTACCAGTAACTCTCCTCAAACCACATCCACTGGGCCCCGTTGACTCATACACGCCGCGCATCGAGCATCGAGCATTCAAAATCCAGCATCCAGCATCCAATATTCACTATCCAACCATCCAGTTTACGGCGGGGCCCTTGGGGGAGGAGAGGGGCACACACTCCACCCATGACATCATCCCCCGCTCTTTGCCCCAACCGCAGACCAGGAAATTTCAAACGACTGGCATCATCATGATGAGGTAAGTTTTCACCATGAATTACATTGGGTATATATAGATTGCCTTTTACAAACACGGCACACAGCGAAAGAGCAAGAAAAGGACAAACAAGACACGCAAGCACAAACCTCGAGACCAGCAACGAGATTTAGCACAACCGCCAACGAAATAAAGAAGAACTAAGAAGATAACATGCCGCGCAACGGAGACGGATCATCAGACAATGGGCCCCTTGAGGCTGGCAACGTGATTCATGGGAACGAGGGGGATGTGAGTATCCTCTGCTTTGCCCTTTTTGACTTCTCCTCGGTCTGTCTAGTACCGCTATGCGATGCAGTATCGTTATAAACAACACAGCATCTTTATCACCTTGCTAAACGAAACGCGCTTCTTCCATTTAGAGAAACACATTGCTAACACCCATGTCTATAAGGCAACACTACAGCATACGAAGAACAATGTTGCGCCTATGCCGGAGGTTGAGAAGGGTGAAGGTATGGGGTTCCCTTTTGATTCCATCCTCCCCCTATTTTTTTTATAGTCCGAAAGGGGGCTGGTGTGCCTTTATACCGCTTGCTAACCGGAAACGACAGCGCTGGAAGGACACAATGCATCTGGTGGTGGTTCTTTGCCCAAGAATACAGAGGAGACGGGGAGGATTGCGGGTGGGGCGAAATAAATCTCTCCCGCTCTCTCTTTCTCTGTACCCACCTCACCCTGTCTAGAAGCTATACGAATCAAACACACTTTCATACCTTTATTTTCCATCTGGGAAATTCATCCTCATGAGCTACCATATCTGTACAATTCACTCTCCTCCCAAGGTTTCGTCTATTTCAACACCAATCACGTTTAATGCAAATATCTCATTCGCCGTCCTGTGCCAACATGTCCTCCCCCACAACCAAGTATTTAATACCGGATAATATTTCCACGCACTCTCGCCTGGTAACCAAGCTCCTCGCTATCCCACAGCATGGAAGTCAAGCTACGCACAAATTGCAATTCGTTCACATTTGCACAAATATCCCCCCTTCTGGCAGAGCAAAATAGCCACTTTAGCAACACATTATATATGCACAGGTACTCCACAGTCGTCCAACTCAAGCTCAGTCTAGTCAAGCGATTATTCAGCCTGGCTTAGTCTGAGCATTACCATCGCTTTACACAACTGTGTGGAATTGATTAGTGTAAAACATGTCTACATTATAGCGCTTGCAGCTCTAAGCTCTAAGGAGGATGTAAATTAGGACTTGGGCTACATCTTGGTGTATAGTAGATTTGATATGTCTACCTGCATCTTCACGTGCTACTACACCGTAGCCGAAAAACCCTAGGCGTGATTGCGAATGTGCGTGGGTATACGTGGATATACTCCAATACTACTTATTGCTATGGAGATTAGATACGTATCTGAATATCTCGACTTAGTCTTACTACTTGGAACAATGCGTACATGGGCAAGTTGTGTTTGATACGTCCTGGATGGTTTTAAAGGGGTTTGTTTAGTAGGAAATTGGTCATGGTGGTGTAGAGGGGTTTTGGCATGGACCGTATGTTGCGGTGTAGTTATTCTTGATAGGCGTTGCCAAGGGGGGTAGATTTATACTGCGTCGGGGTAGGGGGTGTTTGCTTGTGATTTGGTAGCTAGATTCTTTTTTGTACCCTCTATCAGTATAATACAAAGAAATACGGCATTTTGCAAGCCGTCACTGAGGCTTGTGAGTGAGCTTGCGAAAGTGTGTTTGAAGTTTTAGGTAGTGTGATTGCAAGTAATGCAAGGAGGGTTGTGCAGAATGTTAAGCAATATAGACAGATACTGTTATATGGTCTGTGGGTATAGAGCATGCGGAGAAAGCAGGAATGATGCCCAGAAACGAAGTTTTTGGCCTCACAATCTGTATTTATGGATGCTATTTTGTCCTGATCTGATGGCACCTGAATCATAGCCAACTTCAGATCTACCGGTACTTGTATAGTTTCATCTATGGATACCTGGAGCTACATGGCAGTCTTTTGTAATTAATCTGACATGGTGAATGGTTTATAGAGAGGAATGGGAATTGGCTCGTGACCCTGCTTACCTGTTACGTAGCTAGTTTTAAAGATACTGTACTCTTTAAATAGACACCCTAGCCGCCAAGCGCGCAGATTCTAAGCCCTTGATGTTCTGCGATTCATCCTTGGTACCTGACTCTGACTGTCAGTGGTGAAATTCTACCCACTAAGATGGCGGTTGCAGGTGGTTGATTAGGATACTATGTACATCCCGACTGGGCTTGGTTTAATTATTGATACTTACACAGGTGAACCTCGAGGCTTTTTTCTCTTGTCTTCCTTCCGTTCACTCAGTTACTTAGTACACTTGCATCACACGTTTGAGCGAATTTTCAATTCATACAATATATACCGTCTGCATTGGGAAACGGGTGGGGAGAGAACAGACAGTGGGTACTTCAACAAAGGTCCGATACTAGTCTCAAGACTAAGGGGAATGCCAGCTTTTATCGCCTTAATTGCCTAATTTAACAGTAGTGGGGCACTTTGTCTACCGTGTAGTGGTCAGCAATTAGCACTTACCGTACCCTCAAACTATATACTATGTATGCAGTAGTACGCCACGATATACAAGGGCCCCAGCTATTCTCGGAAGTATGGCGACAGAATTACAATCCGGGAAACCCGGACCAAGACGCTAAATAGGTTCTGCTAGGCTGTCGAACATGCTGTATATGAAGAGAGGATTTGTTGACTGCTCCTGCCTAACAGGTTTCCAACAAGACACTTACTTCAGGCTCAACTCCCTTGTTTAATATACCACCACTATTGCCATCTTCCTTATGAAGGCCACAACCGCCCTCGCCTTCCTGGCAGTTTGCAGCAGCGCAGTGTATGCCCAAGAAACTGATGTCGGCACAAACATTGCTCCTGAATGTAAAAGAACATGTCGCGGATCAAGTAAATGCGTCTCGTCGCTGTAAGTTTATCTAGAGAGCTAGAAAAATTATGAGTGCTAATCAGCCTTGCACAGGACGAAGAAGGCAGAATACTGTGTTCAAACTTGCCCCGTGGGCTCTCCATGCCAAGGCACATGCCTGAAAGGAACGAAATGGGCATATGGATATTGCCCCGTCAAGGTGTAAGCAAAGTATTTTATAGCATACGACAGTACATTAAGTCTAACATACTACAGTGAACATGGAGTAAACTGCGTTTGCACTAATTTTGACATTTATGACATTCCTACAGGTTCGTAAACAGTCACCGAAGAGGGGCTGCGTAGCACTATCTGTTGAAATTGGGTGATCACGAGCTTAGCAATGAAATGGGAGATGGATCGTTAGATTGTAACTATCAAGATAGAGCTTAAATATATAGATCTTAACCTTAGTACTCTACTTAGTCTTGATAAATTTATCTATACTTAATATTAACCTAAGCTCCTATTGTGCCGTGGCACGGTGGGCATGCCAAAAATTGAGGCTAATCAAGGAGAGGATAGGCAGGGAAGGATGGGTATATAGATAAGAAGGGGACCTGAGTTATGGTGGACATGAACTCCTCAGTATTCGAAATCATATGAAATTCCTCAGTCTTCTTCTATCTATGCTTGAATCTTCTTGCTCTACTTAATAAGTCTACTGTTATCTTTCTTCCCTCCCTCTTTCCCTTGTTTGAGTGGGTTGCTCTCCCTGATGGTGCACTATTAAGAGGTAATTTAGTATTAAGATCTACCTTTAGCTAGCTTAATAAGCAGGGGAGACTATAGATCGTAATATAGATTGAGTAAGTAGAAGAAGATAGAGATTAAGCTTGTGTTCTCCGTTCTATAATATATCATATTTAATACTAATATCATATACACTAAAAATTTGTTTACTTTTATAGACTACCTAGTACTATTAACCCTATTTAGGTTTACTTCTTCTATTTAAACTACTTCTTAGTCTATGTAACAACTCTACTACTTATAGTTACCACGACTAACTACCTGAGTCAGTTCCTAGGGCTAGCACCCTGACTTAAATCTACCCTTAGCCCAAATCCCCTAGGTATATAGGCAGTATCTCGCCTATAGATAGATGGACATGTTTCTCTTGTCCTTTTATACAAGACCTATAGGTGTAGGAAACAATCGTTCTATCTCTATATAGACGCGCACTCCCATATGCCTTTGAGTCGTATTGGACCCCTATTAGATGTTCCTACTTACCTGCGTCGTTACAGTCTACTTTAGATAAATATAGCTATAGTAAACCAGTTTTGTACCGTAGTGAGAAACTCTACTGACTGTCTAGTGCCACTCCGCGATCATAGCAGAATATGCCAACGCTTTAACCTCGTTCTATCTTTTCACGTGAACAGGTAGGAACAGCTTCAGTGTCTCTTGATCTGTACGGATTGCACTGACAGTTCCGAAAAAATGGTTGCGTAGAGCGTAGAACGGGTTGCATCTCTGCTAGTTGGTGTATTTCACTAAATCTCATCAGACTAAAGCTGTAACTTATAACCACCCATTTGTTTCTCAGAACACCAATGGGTCATCTGTAGTCTGAAGGTCAGCAGAGATACCTACAATGCTAACCTCGCCTCGTTATACGTCACATTCTAACAAACCTATTCTGGTGAAAAGAAAAACTCTACGTATGCTGGACATTGAGGTGAAGCTTGCTATAAGTTGCCAAGTAAATGGATTTTGTTTTAATTAGGAAGACACTTAATCAAACGTTGACTAGTCTTTGCTATTTGCTATTACTATCATGAAGGTTACCACTGCCCTGGCCCTTCCAGTATTCTGCCGCAGTGAGGGTATGTTCAAAAATGCCCGACGCTCTGAGCATCGGTTAACAGTACATGTATACTTGATCTGTGCCTCGCCACACCCTGAGATTGGCAAAGTGACAACTGGTAACTGTCACATCTTGCTTTGCTACATGTTCAGTACCGGCAAAGAAATATGTGCCGAGAGTCGTAGCATTTGATATTCCTGCGAGGGCTCGTACTCGAGAAGTGCTGGTACAGCATATGGATGTTTCAACAATGAGCTGTAGATGGCCTTTTTCATAAGATAAAAAGTGACCTTTTGCTATCTTTCATACCACATAATAGTTTATTGGAGAAAAATTCTACGTTTACACTCACCATACCATGCGATTGGGATAGCATCGGGGAGGCTACGGGAGAGTGTACTGGATGAGACATCACCACGCGGTATGTTAATCTCGCAATTAAGAGCCCCATAAACGTGACCACAAGTCCCGTATTGCGGCAGGTAGTGGACCGAAGGGTAGCCAAGCTGCTCTAAAGTAACCAAGAAGACAAGCTCCTTGGCATGAAACTGGGAGTGATTAGTCGGACCGTACCGCAGGCACTGGAACTACGGCGATTTTCCTCCCAGTGTACCGTACTTACTTCCCTAAGCAAACTCTATATCCCGACAGTAAACAGCAGCGGACGCGAATCAAGCCGAAACAAGACCTTTATCAAAAGTTTTGGTAGCCCTCTGCATGCATACACGTATTCTCGTTCGCTCGCTTGTTCAACTTGCTGTATCATGAATGCCTCGGTCACGTGTGACTCTTGAATGGGCTTAGTCTCTTGGCGGTACTTGCCTACAGATAGCTCCTATCCTCCTAGACTAGGACAATACGATCACGTTACACTCTACTTTTGGACCCCTCATCCCGTCGGATACTGCACAACTTGCTCACCATAGAAATTGAGGAGCATATGTACCTAGACAAGCTGGGCTGAAGGGTCGATTGGTCTTGGACCAATTCTTACTCCCATACTGCGGTACGAGTGCTTCGGCTGTCTCAGATCCTTTTAATGGACGGAACAAAAATCCCCGTAGCTCGTTCTACTGAGATACAAGAAATACTGGATAGAAACCTATGGTTCGATATATTTATCGCCAGTAAATTACGAATACTTTACCTAGAGAATTACAAGCGTCGTCTATACTATCCCCCATTCCCGTCACTTATTGCTTGACCTTTACAATAGTGCAGTATCTGCCCAACAATGCCAGAACAAGTACATGTTCACATAGATTGATAGCCACAGAAAAGGACGAGAAGTCTATATTGAAATTGCCCCATCGATTGTCACTGCCTTGAGCTATGCGAAATTGAAGGCTGGAGATATGGATATGGCCTCACTTCACCATGCGCAGCTGCTCCATTCACGGCGTTGATATGCAGTACCTTCAATCTATACCCTAGTAGTCTGATCCTAGGCTGCATCTGCGCTAACAATAGTAGTTAGATTGTGTAGCGGTGTGGAAGAGCGTCGGTGAGCGTAGTCGAAAAGGTATTACTACTGTACACATGGCAGTAGGTAGTCTATCTAGCGCAGTAAGCAACGCTAACCAAGCAGATGCAAGACAAGTACCGTACCGGTACTTCCGACAGCCTGTACATGAAATTCCGCTCACTCGCTCGACTTAGTTGCCTCGTTGGGGCACGCGAGGAAAGGAATCGTTGAATATAGTAACAGGCATACAAAGGAATCGGGCCTCCACATCCTCGTTTATCTTTGTAACTTGTTGATTTCTCCAAGAAAGTACTATAGGAGTTACAAGTTTTAGAGACTGTGGATGGAGTAGCTGAAACATGGAAACCTCTATTTTCAGGTTCGGAGTTGTTTCGTATTGCAGCGGGCAGGTGCAAGTAGGTATAGCGGAAGCCTAAAGGAGCAAACCAAAAACATAGTTGCAAGGACTGTTAAATCGCAAATATCCATGGTTTATACCTGTTTCTGTGTGTGCAAGGACTCGTCACCTGTGACTGATTTCATCGATTGAACAGTTTATCGTCCGATGAGGAGCTAAATCATGGAAACACTAATCGACTAATACAGCTTTGTTTTTTTCCTTGCATCTCATGTCTGTATCATGAAAATTCTACACCAAAGGATGGTATACAGGCAACTTGTACAATTTTTCACGCGCACATGCAAAGGTAGGCGTCCTCATCTCCCAACATACCATCCTATAATCTGGGCGAACAATTTGCGATACCAACGATGCTACGATGTGATGCATTGCATGACTAGCGCATGCATACCAAAACTACACGAAGCCATGGCACCACAGCATAGAGAGCGCAGCTTACAACTCTCGAGTTTGATCGTTGTCTGGGTCACAGTTTTTGGGTTTCGAGTTTTGCAAGGTAGGACTGGATGATACAGCGGTACGGTATGCGCAGTGTACTAGGTGGAGCAAGTGTGCCGTCAGCGGCGGATGTGGATCTGAATGATGTGTGTGGAGCTAGGTGAAATTGTGGGGAAAAAGGCAGAAGCATCCAGAATCTTGGACTTTGTTGAGGCGCGGGCCTGTCTCCGATGCCGCGATGGGTGATGATGCGGTGAGGATCGTCAGGGATGGGGGACAGGAAAGACGGTGAGCGTGGAATGTGGTTGTGACTAGGTTAGTGAAGCTCGACAAAGAAAGAACAAAGTATCAAAGTATCACCATGCATGGCAAAATCAAAGTGTATAGTGAGAGATGGTGAATTGGCTTCAAAGGCACCAGCCCTTGGTTACTATCTTATCCGCCGATCTAAAAAGCCTTCAAGAAGCGATATCCTGAAATGCAAAACCAACTCTGGATTCGAGAAAGAAGGTTGTTGGTACAGCCGTGTCAACAGACACTTGTAGTCCCTTGCAACGCCGAATGATCCCATCCCAGCCTCCCATGTCCGAATGATCCTATCTTTTTGCGCCGTTCAAATTGCCCAAGCCCGCTCGATCCCACCAGTCGTGATCTACGGTCACCATCAACAGACCCAGCTTCATTCACACCCTCATTGGACTCTGCTACGATGTCTTGAATGCTAAGTTTCCGCTGCGAGAACCCCGTCGCTGACATAAGTCGCGCACTGGGCACTCTGCAAATCAGAGAACTTTGCATCAAAGCCATCAGCAAATCCATAAGGGTTTGAGATGGAGTCATGGCTGAAGAGGGATGAACCGAAGAAGTCGCCTGAAGGGTCAGCCAGGCCATGAGTGGGTTCCATAGAGCCAGCTGTCGGGCTGCCTTCTGGGAACTGGTCGAACTGGAAAAGGTCGTCGAGGACAACAGGTTTTTCATCGACTGGAGCGTGAGGTGGAAGAGTGTAAGATAGGCCCATATCGCCGCCAGGGAGGGCGAGGCCGTGGCCGAAGTCGACTGACACTGCAGGTCGCACAATACCGCGGCAGAGTATTGTGTCGAGTCGAAATCGGGTGTGGCCTCGAAGGTTGAAGGGGGCGTCTCAGGTTGGTAGGACGACTCTCGGGGGAGAGTCAAACGAGTCGTGGGACATTGACATTGGGCTTGTGAGATGCG